TCCTCGTTCCTCGTTCCTGTTACTGAACTTTTCATACTTTGCAAATTTCAGTACCAGGAACGAGGAAAGTGTTTATCAACCTTCTGAACACGATTGATAACAAACGATAATGCGTCAAAGCAATGACATTTCGATCTCAGCTACATTTTTATAACACACCGTTTGTTCGGAATAGCCCGACATGGCTGTTTGGAATAGCCTGACAAGGGTGTTCAGACGAGTCGACAAGAGTTAAAACCAATTGTGAAAATTTAATGATGTGAAGTATCTATTGCTGTTTAATCGAACCACCAATTCTGAAACATCGTCGATGAACCGAGAATCGCTGAGAATGTTTTGGAAAACAAGAACTTTCAGCCATATTGCAGAGTGTTTATAAAAACACGTCAGACCTATGTCGGTTATGTTTCGCCCATTACATCCCAACTACAATTCAATATCAACTTCTTTATACGAATCCCTGAATTCTTCACACAGTTCACAATTGAATGACAAGTGGTCTTTGCCACCAATACCAAGTGTCTCAGTGAAATCTAGCGAAATATACCAGAGGTAAAAACGAATGCCGAGCCGGGAAAGGTCCACATGTTTGAAATGTAAACAAAGCCAAGCTCAGATTTTACACTGTGTATCATTTTCTCATACTGTGAGCGATCTGTTCGTCTACTTGCATGCACTTGCTCATAAGTTGTAGAACATGCATGGAACGAAAGAACGAAAGTTTTCTTCCAAATATCCGGTGTACTCGTGTCGGTGAATACGCTTTTAGTGAAAGTCGCTTCCCGATAGTGATGTCATGTGTATGAATGAAAATACACATGATCAATCGGCCTGCTGCTTATGTTTTCAGTTCTAGTGCTTCTTTCATACTTGTACACACTTTTTTCACGTTATTATTTTCAGTATTAATATCTTTTGCTTTGGGACTAGACAAGAAACCAGTCTAAATCAATTGGCACCAATTACGTCATAATCAAAGGGGAGTAACTCTGACTTGTTTAGCGCGGCAAACAAAGGCCTCATATTGGCATAACATTTCAGCACTTATATTGAGGGTTATACCTTCATTGTAAGAACAATGAGTGTATATTTTCAAGTATTGATATTAACTTATTCAAAATTCCATTTTGTTTCACAGAACGGAAAATTGTGATGTTTTCAGGTACACTTCCCCTTTTTAAGTTGCTCAGCTGCTGTGGCAATGACTCTGGGAATAGCTTCTTTGGATGCAACACCACCACCTCTTGGATCAACATCATGGAACCATCCAAAGAATTGCTCTGCTCTCTCACATGGACATAGAGTTGTGTTTTTCTCTCAATAGATGTCAATAGATCTTCGTAAGTAACACCTGGAATGCCTTTGACGTAGGACAATAGCGGAGGGAATGATGTCAAATCAGCATCTTTTAGAAGCCAGTTTCTAAATGCAAAACGCTTTTCAAATCGCTCAGAAGCTGAGATTCCTGCATCATCTTCTGCACTGTACCACTGCCTAACTACCTTGCAAAAGTTGGCTTCCCGTAAATCACCATTTTTGATCATCTCTGATTCCACCTCTCTACTGAAGGTTCTCTTTGCAAAAGCATTACTTTATTTAACAATGATATCTTCAACCATTGATAAGTTCAAACCAGTGTCATTACTTTTACTGTCTTCTGCAACCTTTAACCAAGCATTCCTTGATATTCCGGCAGCATCTATTCCTGGCCTCACACCTTGGTATGCAGATTATTTAACATGTGATGACAGTCAAGTTTGCAAAATTGGGGATCTTCAGAGTTTCGGCAAATTTCAGCTTTTGAGTAACAGAATTCTGGTATTTGTGTCTCTTCAAGTGGTTTCTAAACAATGAGGATAGCTCCCAATTCTAATATCTTTGTGGGTATATGTCATAGGCAAAGATGATGTTTAAAGTCTGTTTTCTATATTTGTTGACTACCATCTTACATAATGTTTTCAGTTTTGGTGGTGATTTTCTCTTTGCACGTTTACAAGGTTGTCTAGACGTCTTGCCGTGAATGACATCAAACAGTTTTTGACTCATAACAGTTTTGGAGGCAAAGTTATCCTCCTTTTTTTCACATCTATGACATCGATATCGCATTTTGCTGTTAAAGAACATGATCTGATGATGATAAACAGTTGAATTTAACCTCATCAGTTTACTTAAATCAATCAAATATCTCATAACCATCCGTATCCAAAAATATGCTCGCTCAGTAACAACCCGGAAAATGTCACGTAACAATCCGTTGTATCTAAAATGCACCCCTCTCTCAGAAATCATGTAATTACGCATTAACCAATGACAGTATTTCATTTATCTTTGATTTATCATTTGATAGAATGATTTTTGCAAATCAAAGTGTGTACAACTTTAATTAAGATTATTTGAATAGAACATAATTGTCGCTTAACTAAGTCAAGAAAAGATTTAAGAGGTAACATTTTGAAAGTTTACAGTGTTTTTTTGCTCCATTACAATTTCATTTCCTAGAAAATGCATATTTTCATGTAATGATTATCAGTGAATCTAAACACATCACTTGTAAAGGTGAAAATGTCAATACTTACCGCTAAAAGGAGACAAAATTGAAACACGCATACTCATTAAATTACCATAACAATCCGTTGTATTCCCCATAATACTCCGGAATTTCAGTAACAATCACCAACGGCGCGTATTACAGGGTGTGTATATACAGCCTCAGAAGAATCCCAGCCAACAAACCTGATCTTGTCCTTTTTGATAAAGCAAATGAATTGTTTTATATCATTGAATTTTCTGTCCCTTTTGACAGCAATGTCAAGCATAGTCGCCTTTTATGGCAAGCACATGGGTTGCTGAAGACCTATTCTACCCCGGATCTTCACGGGGCGAATGTTTTGAAGTGGTACACTCTCAAATCACTCTTCCCCTTAGTTTGGTCAGAAAAGTGTGGTTCAAGGTAACCCTTCATTTTGACCATCGTGGTGCTTGAGGTCTTCGGGATCTGCGCCATGATTCCTTTGTTTTGTCCCCTGATGATGCTGGGGCTGAAAGGTTTCGCATGACATACAACGAGCCCGACAAAGTACCACGTCATGAGGTAGAAAGTCGAGGAAAGTCTAATTATCCACGGACGTAAAAGAAGACGGGCGATGCAAACTGTCCCGTAAAAAGTGAATTTGTACCTTGAAGCATATCAGTTAAATACGTCTTTCCTTCATTGTCCTTTATAAAACCCTATACCAGATCGTTGCTATTCACAGCAACACATGGGAGAAATTACTCTTAAAAAATTATGTCAATCTCCACAGCAGCGGAGACACAAACGTACACAAACCACTATGTCTGTGTTACATCTACTCCAATGTTGTCCGAAGTCGGTGTTGTTGCTCTCGGAATCATGTCAGATACTGGTCACAGGAACGATCAGTCATTAAAAAGTTATATAAAAACATAGTCAGTTGCAATCGTCCACGTGTTGTACATATGTGAGTTATTGACAAAACTGTACTTTATTACACTTTCTATAGGGACAGGGCCCCCACACCCACATACTCCCGCACACCCACATACCAACATACCCACACACACATACACACATACACACAACACGACTTGTGTTTAACCAGTTCTTCTTGGTGGAAAATTGACATCCTGCGAACGTATAGACAAAGTAAAACCTGACCTTAGCCTTTGTAAGTTCCAAGACACTGCACGTCCCTTCCTCCGCCTCAGTAGAAAGCCCAGAAGACCTTGTGGTGGGGTAATGTATTGATATGCATTCCGTCAGTATGTCAGTAGCATATGCTATTAGTATTGTTGACGGAGCAGATCATGCTCGGCGAGCAACATGATAGAATAAAATACGCCCCAACAATTCGGTGTCATGTGATATACACTAAATGTATGAAATATAGAGGAGTAACTTGCGTGACAGTGTTGAACCATATATCACTGTAGATACAACACATACCTGTAGGAAGGGTACTGATGGTATGCTGTTGGCATATACCACTGTAGGTACAACACATACCTGTAGGAAGGGTACTTATAGTACATTGTAGTCATATACCACTGTAGACACAACACACACCTGTAGGAAGGGTACTGATGGTACACTGTAGGTATATGTAACTGTAGATACAACACACACATGTATGAAGGGTACTGATGGTACACTGTAGGAACATATAACTGTAGATACAACACACACCTGTATAAACGGTACTGACGGTACATTGAAGTAACATATCCCTGTAGATAGAACGTACCTAAAGGAAGGGTACTGATGGTACACTGTAGGTATATATCACTGTAGGTACAACACATACCTGTAGGAAGGGTACTGTGGTACACTGTAGGCATATATCACTGTGGATACAACACATACCAAAAGGAAGGGTACTGATGGTACACTGTAGGCTTACTGATGGTACACTGTAGGCATATTCCACTGTAGGTTCAACACATACCAGTAGGAAGGGTACTGATGACACACTGAAGGCATATATCACAGTAGACAGAACACATACCTGTTGGAAGGGTACTGATTACACACTGTGGGCATATATTACTGTAGACAGAACACATACCTGTAGGAAGGGTACTGATGACACACTGAAGGCATATATCACTGTAGACAGAACACATACCTGTAGGAAGGGTACTGATGGCACACTGTAGGCATATATTACTGTAAGTACAACACAAACAAAGAGGAAGAGTACTGATGGGACACTGTAGGCATATATCACTGGAGACACAACAGATACCTGAAGGAAGGGTACTAATGGTAAACTGTAGGCATATATCACTGTAGATACAAGAAATACCTGAATGGAGAATACTGTGGTTCACTGTAGGCATATATCACTGTAGGCACAACACATACCTGTAGCAAGGGTACTGATGGTACACTGTAGGCATATATCACTGTAGACACAACACATACCTGTAGGAAGGGTACTGATGGTACACTGTAGGCATTTGTAACTGTAGATACAACACACATGTATGAAGGGTACTAATGGTACACTGTAGGCACATATAACTGTAGATACAACACTCACCTGTATAAAGGGAACTGATGGTACATTGTAGTGATATTTCCACGTAGATAGAACTTACCTAAAGGAAAGGTACTGATGGTACACTGTAGGCATATATCACTGTTGACACAACACATACCTGCAGGGTGCCATTTCACAAGGAGATTAAGGAATGTTTTGAGTGAGGGAGTAAGTTTAGTTTTACGCCGCACTCAGCAATATTCCAGCTATATGGCGGCGGTCTGTAAATAATCGAGTCTGGACTAGACAATCCAGTGGTCAACAGCATGAGCATCGAGCATGCGAAATTGGGAACCGATGACATGTGTCAACCAAGTCAGCGAAACTGACCACCCGATCCCGTTAGTCGCCTCTTACGACAAGCATAGTCGCCTTTTATGGCAAGCACATGGTTTGCTGAAGACCTATTCTACCCCGGATCTTCACGGGGCGAATGTTTTGAAGTGGTACACTCTCAAATCACTCTGCCCTTAGTTTGGTCAGAAAAGTGTGGTTTAAGGTAACCCTTCATTTTGACCATCGTGGTGCTTGAGGTCTTCGGGATCTGCGCCATGATTCCTTTGTTTTGTCCCCTGATGATGCTGGGGCTGAAAGGTTTCGCATGGCTTACAACGAGTCCGACAAAACACGTCATGAGGTAGAAAGTCGAGGAAAGTCTATTATCCACGGACGTAAAAGAAGACGGGCGATGCAAACTGTCCCTTAAAAAAGGGAATTTGTAACTTGAAAAATATCCGTTAAAAACGTCTTTCCTTCATTGTCCTTTATAAAACCCTATACCAGATCGTTGCTATTCACAGCAACACATGGGAGTAATTACTCTTAAAAAATTATGTCAATCTCCACAGCAGCGGAGACACAAACGTACACAAACCACTATGTCTGTGTTACATCTACTCCAATGTTGTCCGAAGTCGGTGGAAAATTGACATCCTGCGAACGTATAGACAAAGTAAAACCTGACCTTAGCCTTTGTAAGTTCCAAGACACTGCACGTCCCTTCCCCCGCCTCAGTAGAAAGCGCAGAAGACCTTGTGGTGGGGTAATGTATTGATATGCATTCCGTCAGTATGTCAGTAGCATATGCTATTAATATTGTTAACGGAGCAGATCATGATTGGCAAGCAACATGATAGGATAAAAAACGCCCCAACAATGCGGTGTCATGTGATATACACTAAATGTATGAAATATAGAGGAGTAACTTGCTTGACAGTGTTGAACCATATATCACTGTAGATACAACACATACCTGTAGGAAGGGTACTGATGGTACATATAGGCATATATCACTGTAGACACAACACATACTTGTAGGAAGGGTACTGATGGTATGCTGTTGGCATATATCACTGTAGGTACAACACATACCTATAGGAAGGGTAGTGACGGTACACTGTAGGCATATATCACTGTAGACACAACACATACCTGTAGGAAGGGCACTGATAGTACACTGTAGGCATATATCACTGTAGGTACAACACATACCTGTATAAACGGTACTGATGGTTCATTGTAGGCATATATCACTGTAGATACAACACATACCTTTACGAAGGGCACTGATGGTACACTGTAGCCATATATCACTGTAGATACAACATACACCTGTATAAACGGTACTGATGTAACACTGTAGGCATATATCACTGAAGATACAACACATACCTTTACGAAGGGCACTGATGGTACACTGTAGCCATATATCACTGTAGATACAACACACACCTGTATAAACGGTACTGATGGTACACTGTAGGCATATATCACTGTAGATACAACACATACCTGTAGGAAGGGCACTGATGGTACACTGTAGGCATATATAACTGTAGATACAACACATACCTGTATAAACAGTACTGATGGTACACTGTAGGCATATATCACTTTAGATACAACACACACCTGTATAAACGGTACTGATGGTACACTGTAGGCATATATCACTGTGGATACAACACACACCTGTATAAACGGTACTGATCGTACACTGTAGACATACATGTATATCATTGTAGATACATCACATACCTGTATAAACGGTACTGATGGTACACTGTAGGCATATATCACTGTAGATACAACACATACCTGTAGGAAGGGCACTGATGGTACACTGTAGGCATATATCATTGTAGATAAAACACAAACCTGTACGAAGGGCACTGATTGTATACTGTTGGCATATATCACTGTCTAGGTATCGACATCAAAGTTATAAAATAAGGTCGGCTTTGAGTCAGTCTAACGTGTCTGGGCCGGATGTCCTAATAGAACTGTTGCATGGTATCTCAGTTGGCAATCATACAAACTAGCTACAGAAACCACACAGAGGACCTGTGTATCTCAGGTAGCTATCATACAAACTAGCTACAGAAACCACACAGAGGACCTGCGTATCTCAGGTAGCTATCATACATATTAGTTACAGAAACCACACAGAGGAGCTGTGTATCTCAGGTAGCTATCATACATATTAGTTACAGAAACCACACAGAAGACTGTGTATCTCAGGTAGCTATCATACATATTAGTTACAGAAACCACACAGAGGAGCTGTGTATCTCAGGTAGCTGTCATACAAACTAGCTACAGAAACCACACAGAGGACCTGCGTATCTCAGGTAGCTATCATACAAATTAGCTACAGAAACCACACAGAGGACCTGTGTATCTCAGGTAGCTATCATACAAACTAGCTACAGAAACCACACAGAGAAGCTGCATTTAGCTAAATGTGTACAGTAAGTTTGAATGCAAATTAAACACCTTACTTGCATTGATATAAGTTTACCTATCACACGAGAAGCCTGAATTGAGCTTTGAAAGGATACACCAAAGTACTACACTTACACATTACACTTGGCTTTGTTACTTATAGTTTAACTATGCACACGGGTTTCAACTCAAGCACTTGATAAATCTACATCCACTGCCCTACTTATGGGTTTGTCTATAACAATGTACATATCTTTTCCATATCTGGCCACGTCACCTGACGTTATCTGTTATGAAAGAGTAATACCTGACATTCAATCATACAAGTACATCGAACTTCCATTAATGGTTAAGCTACTGTGGTTAAGGTATGAGGAGACTCAATAGATTGGGTGATAAAACCCAAAACAATTATAAGTGAAAAAAGGATTCGATAAAACGTCAAAGAAAGGGATTCAAAATTCAACCGATATTGCTGATTGATACACAACAACCAAACAAACAAACGAACAGCGCCAAGACCTTAACTTGCATGTCCAGGTACGTCCGCCTTCAATGAATTCCAGGAACATCAATCTGAGAAATTCTTCTGTTCATAGCCGACACTCAGGACATATACATAACCACAACTTATCGATCGTTTCTTTTGACTGTTCAAGAGAAGTATAAATAGATCTTCTTATCGATATATAATCACTCATCCGTGATTGTTTCTCTCCCACTTTGACGGTGGTCACCGGATCTGGGTGGGTTAATGGAGGCGAAGAACGATCTGATATGGCACGAGTGGCGCTTAAAATGTTGAATTAAATATATTTTACGTGATTAATTATTGCATATGAGGTTAGAAATCTGAGAGCACAACCCTTTGAGGAAGTGGGTGTCTACCTTTGATGGTGGCGATATTTTATTTTGTATGTTTCGAATCGATGCGAGGGAAGTATGTTGCCCACCTTTGCTCGCTTCGCCCGCATATAAGAAAACTGGTCATTTCTCTCTGTTGCTCAACCCTCTTTGCGCTAAAGTTTGCCTGTGGTTTAAGGAATATCGTAACGCCGTCGGAAATATCTATTTTGAGACATACTATGGAGTATAAACTAGTTTTTCATAGACCTGTCGAGAGTATCAACATTTATGCTAAAGCTCATCTAACACTGTAGCCTTTGAACCAATTTCTAAAACAACCTTACAAATCTTCAAGTCTAGACCGTTTACCCAGAATCTCCGAGTAAAAATAAAATAACTGACTTTATCAAAAACTACCTCAAAATCAGATATTTTATTTATTTATATTCTGTGTAATGTTTGCGAGTTGCGGGTGCTATCGGTTTGACTGGACTTTGCCTTTAAGAGAACACCACATGACCGGATTTCGTGGATCCTTTCATCATATACTTCCCTTCAAAAGTTTAGAATCACTAGTGTAAATGTTGCCACGTATTTCAATTAAGCGTTCTAAACTAAATGTTGCAAACTATTCCATACTGTTTAAAGGTTCTGTTTACACATGAACTGATGTATTGTAAAACAAATTCGTATCGTTGAAAAGATATTGTCATGAGTTCATTAAATGATACAAATCAGGGAAAATTTGCGAATTCTTAACAAAATGTTACACCAAAACGCAGCTGTTCACGTGCACGATATTTGCACATGCTCTTTAGCAATTTGATACATGATCCTCGATCAATTTATCTGCATAAGGTTTGCAGTTGGTTCCCGGATGTTAGAGGAGAAATCAATCTTCGATGTAACCATATAAATATACATAACATATAGTGAGTGTTTTAAGTGAGTCTAAACTTCTGATGAGAAGTATATTTGCCTTTCGGGTCTAATTCAATCATGTAGAATACCAGTGGGGTAGCCTAGTGGTTAAAGTGTTTGCTCGTCACACCGAAAACCGGGTTGTACCAGGGGCGTAGGAACGGTTTTCAGAGTGGGGGGGACTAATTTTGTGAATTTTTTTGTTGTAGTTATGGTAAGGTAGATATGGTAGATATGGTCTTGAAAAAAGTGTGTGTGTGTGTGTGTGTATGTGTATGTGTGTGTGTGTGTGGGGGGGGGGGGGGCTTAGCCTGTGTACTGTGTTACATAGTTACAATATGTGAAGGCCGGCTCTGGTCCAAATTGTTATTGTTGCTGAATATCCCTAAAAGTAAACTCACGCGCTATGGCTAGTGTCTCACAGATATAAACTTGATCGATTACGGCGTTAAACAACATTCAGTCACTTCAATTAGTATATTGTTTCGTTCAGAATTGTTCGTT